AGGCTCCGTTTGGTTTGTGGGATGGGGATGAGGAAAAAGGAATATTTCAAAAATATTCATTTTTCTCTCATTTGTTTTGAAGGAAATAGAGGGATGGGATGAGAAAAATGTGGGATGTCAAATTCCAAAATCGTGGATTTGGGGTCGCACCAAAACCGTGTGACCTCGGTGGAAAAATTTGAGAAACCACTGTTACCATCGATGACGAACAAAGGAGGGAACCATCGATGACGAATAGAGGAGGGAGAGAACCAGTGCCTTTCCCATTACTATTAGCGTTCTGCTACCTCCCCTTCCTCGTTTGAACCCAGAAGCAGAGCAGCGGCGGCAGCACCCCCTCTCAGTCACTCCCTTACTCCCTCTCTCCTCTCTTCTTCTCTTTCTTCTTCTTCCGTCTTTTGTTTTTCACCCAAAAAAAAAGCAATGTTCATTGTCTTCTCGACAACGAACACAGGAAATACCAGTGGCGGTTACCAGGATCATTTACCCTCTAGTACCACTCCGTTCATTGTCTTTGCTTTCCGCCGACGAACTACTGTCTCCGGTGGCACTATTTTCTTTCCAATGGTGACCAGCGACACTGTTCATCATCTTCGCTTTTCCGCTGGTGAACTACTATTCGTCTTCCTCTTGGTGCAACAGAGCACTCCACAGTGGCTATACTCCATCATTCCTACCATCTCCGGCAACCGTTTCACTAGTTTTGACTAGTTTCTCCGATCATCCATTGTTTTTTATTCCCTCATTTTCCCTCTCTCTCTCTCTCTCTCTAATCGCCGCTGCAATCATGGAACTCTCTTCTTCACCTTACATGAACCCGGCGAAGAAGTAACTCGTCATAGTGCTTTTCTTATTATTTTCCCATATATAAAATCAGACAATGGAAGTGAAAATTTTTATACTTTCTCATTCCATCCCATCCCACCCAAATCTTTCCACAACCATGAAAACTTTCAGCCCACTATGCTGACAATTTTGATATTCCTAGGTGGTGCTGTTCTCTTACCGAGGAAATGTATGACCAATTTTAATCTGAGTTATTTATTTTGATAGGTTAGAAGAGAGAAAGGCGTCAGTCTCGTTTAGGGATGACAATCTGACCAGCCCCATCGGCCCCACCCTGCCCTGTCTCAATTACGGAGGTTTTTCTGACCACTGATTGGGGTCCAGGATAATATTTGTCCACCCTGCCTCGAATTGCATTCAAGATTTAAAATTTTGTAAGGCACCGTTGCAGCCAAATATTTTTTTGTAGCTTATTGGGCTGTATTGGCTTGGTATCAAGTCATTTTGGACAACATTTTCGAACCGCTATTGATTTGGATGTTTAGATCATTTGGCCCGGGAATTATTCAGGTAATCAGTTCCGTTTTATCTTAAATTTGAAATCTGGTAAAAAATCATTGAAAAATTTAATAAACCGTTGACATGGGCAGTCGAACTATCAACCTATTGACCCATTCAATGAATTTTGACCATTTTTTTATTTTTTTTAATTTTAATGTCAGAACAGACCGTCTGTTCAAACCAGATGATCGAACCATTGACCCAGAAACCAGTGCCCAGAATGATTCCGTTTTCAGGTTTTTCAAAACGTTGGTTTTGGATTTGTATCAACCAAATCCCATAAGGCTATATGCAATTCGATTTTAGTATTCTCCTCAAAACTCTCTCATTAATAAACCCCTATAATTACGTCATCTCCCTAATAACTCACTCCTTATTAATTCTAATTTATCTCACTCCTTATTAATTCTTAAACAACCCTCTCCCCCTCCCCCTCCTTAATACCTCTTATATTTAATGCAACTTTTTAAAATCAAATTTGTCTTTAAGTAAAAGGATTTGAACCTTGATCTTTGGCTTATAATATTAAAATTGTATCCATAAATTCACATCAAATCATACTCCAATTACTTGATATAACCATATACATTTTGATTCTTAATTGAACGTCTCTTTTTGGTGAATGTTTGCCACTAAAGTTAATTATTAAAATTTATACACTAATAAATATTAATACAATTCATATTATTTTTATTGAAAATTTAGGTACATATACATTTTAGCCATTCCATCATTTTTCAGTATTTATCAATTATGTCTCAATATCTCACTTTATATAAACCACTAAAGTAGTTTTTTGTATGCATATTTATTGTTATTATTTTTTAGGCTTAATTTGGAAGAAGTACAAATACAAATATATACGATACAAATACATACAAAATAAGAGGCTTTGCACTCTACATATTTGTATTTGTATTCTAAGATTTATTTGAATTTTTTAGAATATTTGTATATCTTAGGCTCCGTTTGGGAAGAGTGCAAGTGCCGGTATACATTCCAATTCAGTTTTGCTAGTGTTTGGCAAGAATATATTTATGTATTGACAATGATAGAAAGCACAGTTTTCAATGCATGTTTGCATCCATAATGATAGGGAATTTTACATAAAAATTGATGTGCATTTGCACTCAAAGTTGATCAAATGTTAAGATTCATGTTTGCATCCATTACAACTGAAACTCGTTTGGCAAAAAAGTAAATTTACCATTGCAAAACGAAACCAACTTGGCATTTGTATGGTCCAAAATGCAATCTACATATTTGCATTTGCACTCTATTTGCACTCTTCCCTAATCGAAGCCTTAACTTTTCATCTAAGAGGTGTGCTCTAGTTAGGGAGCGGAAGTGCTCTGGTTAGGGAGTGGGAATGTGAGAGGAGAGACGACAGTGTTATCATCCAAGACCAGAGATCTATATTCTTTGTAGATGGAGGAAGGACTAGGAAGGTGAACATCTTGAGGAAATCTGAATCGTTGGAAAATCTAGCTACTTGCAGCCTATACGGGAAAATTTTGTCTAATAAATCACTCAATATCAAAGGGGTTTTAGGTTCTAGTGGAGTTTAGGATGAAAGAGACAACAGAAATTTGGCTAAGGAAGCTGAAGAAGTGGCAGATGAAATGGTGTTAAGGAGAAGAGGAAGAAACCGACAGGAAGGGAAGCAAAGTCTCCATGTCCGGGTGTGAGTAGATGTTATTGAACCTCAAGCGAAGGGGGCTTGGGGCTTGTTGGATGATGAAAAGGAAGAATGGTTTGCATTCAAATATGAAAAACTCCCCATTTTTTGCTTTAGCTGTGGACGACTTGGACACAGTGAAAAATACTGCGAATATAAAGAAGAGTTGTAGAAAGAAGTAGATGAAATATCATAACAACTAGGTTGGAATCTAATGAAAGACTATAGAGGACCCACTAGCTATGGCCCCAGGTTAAAGGATGAGGGTCATTTCCTGAACAAGAAGAGGGTTGATGCCAAACTAGTGGGAGAGGAGCCTACTTGGGAAGGATTATGTATGGAGCCAAATATCGAAAAATCTCAGTTGGTGGTGGCGAAGCATTCTGGGGTAAAAGGAGTGAAGATAGGAGGGGGGAACACACTAGAGGAGAAGAGAAGCCATGTGATAATCAAAGGAAGCTGCAGTAGAACAAAGGAGGACGAAAGCACTGGAAGATTTGTTAGTGGTCTTAACACCAAACTATCGTCGGTAAAGGGCTTACGGTGACACTCGAGCATCCTCTCCAATGAGCACTGGTTCCAAAGAGGGATAAGCCTGACTGAAACAAACATTACCTTTCCAATGAAAGGGAACAAGCTTGACCAAGTACAAATAGAGTTTCTTCACTAAAATAAGAAATAACTAAGGCTTGCGCATGAAGAAATCCCCGAGTCTAGCAGTGTTGTGCTCGGCCCTCTGTTCCTTAAGCCAAATAAGGAAAAAGGTCCTCTGTTCCTTAGACAAACCCTAGACTTTGTCTAAGAATCATTGCAGGAGGATTGGAGATCCCCCAAAGTCCAAGTCCCTAAAGCGGTGGCCAGGGTGCTCAAGCCAAAAAGGTTTTAAAAAACAAGTAATTGGCGGGATTATTCCTTCTACACAGAAGGAAGAAATTTTGGGTTGCCTCAAGAAAGCCAGATTCGGATGACTAAGAAGATTAGAAGTTTTTATTTTATTGTGTTAACAAAGCACAAATCCCTTCTAAATGACAGAATCCCTTTGAGGCCTCTTCACGAAAAGATGGAAGTCTCTTTCCAAATCACAAAAAAGACCAATCAGGATAGACAGAAAAGGAATACAAAGAGACCTAGGGTTCCAAGGATGATACGAACAAATCCGGTTGATGGTGGTTGCAAACAAGGGCTTATGAGAGTTGACCCGAGACAACTCCATTTTGTGAGATGAAGCTTTGGTGTTGAAATTCTTAGGGTATGGGATCCTCCTTGACAATTCGAGCAATGAAAGAATCCCTGAGGTTGGAAAGACCAAACATTGTGTTTTTTAGTGAAACAAAGTGCTCATTGGTTAATTGTCGGAAGAGTAGCATAGTGGAATTGTTGGGGTGTGGATTTCGTTGGTCTATCAGGTGGTTTAGCTCTTTTTTGGGGAAAAATATCTTCATCTTAAAATAGAGCATGCAAGTAAGAATGTGATCCATACAAGAATAGTTTGGGAATTATGGTTTAGTTTGGTGGTGCTCCTTTGTTTATGGGAAGGCTCAGAAAAGAAAAAAGGCCCATCTTTTATGAGAAGCTTTCAAATCTTGCAGATTATGTAAATGGCCCATGGTGCTGTGTGGGAGATTTCAATATGGCTTTCAATTTTGATGAAAAAGAAGGGGGGAAGAGGTATAAATAGAGTTACATCAAACAGACAAGGAATATGCTTAAAAATTGGGGGTTAATGAAAATCCTTTTCTATGTTCCTAGGTTCACATGGAATAACAAGAGGGATGGGATGGAAAACATTAAAGTCAAATTGGATAGGGGACTTTGCAATTTGGAATGGCAAGAAGCTTTCATAGTTGTCAAGGCGACACCTTATACATATATAAAATTATTATTTAATATTTTTTTAATTTATTGGTTTGATATTTTATTAGTTGTTGTATTCCTTTAAAATACATCTAGTACATGGTATCATTTTAATATTAAGACAAGTTAAAAGAATACCCTTTTTCTGTCAAAGGGTTTTCTTTGTTCGATTGGAGAGGAAGGAGAACCAGACAACACTTCTATCTCGAGCCCCAGCCCAACTCCATCGCACCTCAACTCCAACAGCAGCAGCAGGTAAGTTTTTCTTCTTCTTCTTCTTCTTCAAATTTCAGTTGAAAAAATAGGGGCTCCACCAAACCTCCTTTTTTTTTTTTTCTAAAAAACAGGGGTAGAACCCCTATATTCCTCTCAATAATCAATCCTCTCTCCACTCATCATCATAATCATCATCTTCTTCTTCTTCTCTTCTTCTTCCACTCCGCCCCATGAGGCCACGAGTCCAACAGTCGTCCGCCCCTTGCCTCCTTGAGTTGCGTCCATTCTTTTGTTTTTTTTTTTTTGAAAAATTGAGATTTGAAATGTTTGAAATGCTTTATTTTGAAAATCTGAACTGAAACTTGATTATATGCTATGCTGAATCCAAAATCTGAGATTTGAAATGTTTGAATTTTTATTTTGTTTCATTAATGTTTTTTTTTTACATGGCTGAACTACTCTAGTGCTCTTTTATTTTTTTTATAAGTTTTGGTTTTGATTGTATGGGTGATTTTTTTTTTTTTAATTTCTATTTGTATATAAGTATATTGTAATATTGCATTTGCTGATTTGCATTATGGTTGCTTGTTTACTTAGGATTTAGGAAATATATGAATATTGCAATATTGAATTTGCTGATTTGTATTATGCGTTATTTTGAAAATCTGAATTCAGAAACTTGATTGTATGCTATGCTGAATTAATATGATTATGCTTAGTGTAATGTGTAGCTAGTAAAAGCAAATATAACATATAAAATAGTTTAAGTCCTTTAGGAAGTATATAGAAATCTATAGATTTTATATTTATAGGTTCCATCACCTAGGCGCTTGGGCGCCCTGTGGTCGCCTAGCCTCGCCTAGTTACCTTAACAACTATGGAAGCTTTCCAAAATGCCAAAGTTTGCTCCTTAGAAGTGCATGGCTCGGACCATATTCCCATTTGCCTGGACATAAATCCAAAGGATAAAAGGAGAAGAAGACCCTTCAGATTTGAGGAGATGTTGTTAACACATGAAATGTATGAAAAGGTAATCAAGGAGTCCTGGGGGGATAGTGGGCCAAGCAAAAATTCTCTCCAGTAAATGTTCCTCTCTAAGTGTTACTCTCAAGAAATGGAACAAAGAGATTTTTGGTAAGGTCCATGAGGAAAAACTCAAATTAAAGAAAGCTTTGAGTATTGAACTGGGAAAAAAGGCTCCAACTTTAACAATGAGAAAATTAAGAAGCTTGAGAAAGAGTTGGATCTAATTCTAAAGAGAGAGGAAATCATGTGGGCTTAGAAAATTAGGATTAATTGGCTGAAAGAGGGGGACAAAAATACTAGATTCTTTCATACAACAACCATAAGAAAAAGAGCAAGAAATAGAATACAAAAAATTAGAAATGAAGTTAGTACTTGGGTTGAAGGTAATGAGAGGATTGAGCAGGTCTTTATCAAGCATTTTAATGATATTTTCTCTTCCTCAAATCCTTCTCAATTTGATAATGCTCTTAGAGGAATAGTTCTTGTGATAACTAAGGAGGAAAACTTAGAAATCCAAAAACCAGTTTTAAAAGAGGAAATTAAATTAGCCCTTTTTCAAATGCCCCCTAAAAAATCTCCAGGTCTAGATGGATTTCTAAACTTTTTCTTCCAAAAATTTTGGGAAGTGATTAAGGAAGACCTTTGTAGAAAGGTAACAGATTTCTTTCAGAATGGGATATTAAGGGAAACTTTGAATCACACATTTATAGCCTTAATTCCTAAGGTTAAAAATCCAGAATCTGCATCAGACTTTAGACCTATAAGCCTTTGCAACACAGAATATAAAATAATAGGAAAAATCATGGCTAATAGGCTAAAGCCGATTCTACAAAGAATTATTTCCCCTAATCAGAATGCCTTTCTTTCAAGAAGGCAAATAACTGATAACGTTCTTTTAACCCATGAAGTGATGCATTTTATGAAACTTACAAAGGGAAAGAGGGGTGTAATGGCAATTAAATTGAACATGAACAAAGCTTATGATAGGGTGAAATGGCCCTCCCTACAAGCTGTTCTCAGGAAGATGGGGTTTGGACCCATATGGGTGGATTGGGTAATGAAATGTGTAACCATGGCTTTTGTATCAGATTCTCAATAATAGCTCTCCCTCAAGAAAGTTCTACCTCCAAAGAGGGCTCAGACAAGGGGACACCTATCCCCTTACCTTGTTCCTCATTTGCTCTAATGTGTTTTCTGCATTGTTGATTGAACTAGTCCAAAACTCTTCTCTCGCGGGTGTAAAAGTGTGCATGCAAGCTTCAGTGATTTCTCACCTTTTTTTGTAGATGATAGCTTCATAGACAATGAAACTAGATCTTGGAATCCCGGAAAGGTTCTTCAGGCCAATTCAGGTTAAATCAGCCTACTTCACTGCCTCCAGGAATCAGTTCAGCCCAAGCTCTAGAGGAGAAAGTTCTTGGGAGGAGAAGCCTTTCTGGAAGAGGTTCTAGCATCTCCCTATTGAACCAAAGATTAAAAATTTTCTCTAGAGATATTGTAAAAATGGTCGTTGTAAATGAAAATTTATACAAAAGAAAAATAATTTTATCTCCTTTATGCTGAAGATGTGTGAGAGAATGAATCGGTTATGCATTCTCTCTTTTATTGTGAAAAAAGTAGGTGTATTTGGTTTGGGTCGGGTCTGGGTCTCATAGTAGACCTCTTGGACAGATCCTGTTCCTTTGCCGATTGGTTTGCATCATCTCTCAAGTCCCTTTACTATGAGCACCTTGATTCTATCATCAGATTGTCTATTAGTTTGTGGGAAATTTAACTCTTCCAATACTTTGAAGGTGATTAATGTCATTAACAGGTCGACAGCAGAGACATCTCTGCTCTTGCAGCCGAAATGGGGAAACTATTCAGCTAAAGGGTCTTTTGACCCTCCATCTTTTTGTTGGACCCCTTCCCAAGAAGGCTTTGTGAAGATTAACGTGGATGGAGGTTTCAGAGCCCCTAATAAAGCTTCTTATGGTATTATAGCTCGAGATTCAGCAGGTTTTTGCCATTGGGCTTCTTGTGTTCCTCTCCTGGCTGAATCTCCTTTAATGGCAGAGGCTCTGGCTCTGGTAGAAGCAGCAGTCAAAGCTGTGAGAAGATCTGGTTTATCACGGGTTTTTGTCGAATCAGACTGTCAAAACTTGATTTCTCACCTCAACAGTTCAGCTAATTTAAGTCCTTCGGATCTGTTTTTTTTTTTTTTTTTTAAAGGAGGATCTTGTTAACCTGTGTGGTGCCGCCGTTCTGCCAATGGTGCAGCTCAAGAGCTTGCAAAACTGGGTTTTGATTTTGTTCTGTGGTTTGAGGGTGCTCTGCCCGATTGGTTATCTTCTCTGAATTGTTATGTCGGTTAAGACTGTTATTTTTTTAGTTTGTTTTAGTTTCGGTTTCCTTGTAGTTTCTTTCTGTTTTTCGTGCGTTTGTAGTTGGTTTTTGTTGGATGGATGCAGTTATTTACCAAAAAAAAAAAAAAACTTTTCGTCTATATTGATGCATATCTAAAGGGTATTCTGATCCACCTCTGAAACATCCTTGTATTGAAGTTGATTGTATGTGTCACTCTGCGTTAAGGTTTCAACCATCCCCAAGCATGAAGGTCGGTCAATATGAAGTGTGAGATTCTGGTGGTTGGAAAACTATGGCGAACTACTATATCCATCACTCATTGGGCCAAAAAATTGGGGCACTTGATGTGCTAATCTGCCAATTTTTTCAAACATTTTTGGGGGCACTGAGCCAATCCATTCTGAAATTGCACTGCCATAAATAAGGAAGGCTGCTGAATGACATTTCCTTTCATTCTGAGTTTTCCTTTTCCCAGGTCACACGCATTGGATAAAAACAAAACAAACTGCAATCTATCAATGAGAAGAGAAATGTGTTTGTCACTGAATTTCAATGGTCCGGGCTGGCTTGCACCAGCAAAGCAGAGATGAAGAAAGCAGTTGGAAAATTTTTCTTGGTTTTGACTACTTCTACTCTCTCTACTCACTACTCGGAGTAAATAATGACGAGACCGCGATCTCTGGCCACCAACCAACCTTACCCACCCAGGCCAAAAGTAGGAAGAAATTAAAAAAAGAGAAAAAGGGTTTGTCCTACTTATTTTGAGGATCTGAGCTGGTTTGCACCAGAAGAGATCTCTTCTGAAGAAAAGCAGTTATGGGTCTTCCTCCAATCATTACATTTGAAGAGACTGCACATAAACTTTAGTGACTGACTTTGCATTTCACTTTCTGGAGAAAAAAAATGACATACAACGACATTGAAATGATATATACCTTCTTCAACATTAATGTTCATGGAAGCTCAAACATGATTTAATCACATTTTATACACATATTTTAACAAACAAATCTAACATTTTCCACAAGAGAACAATTCAGAGACCTCATCCTCGCCTGACAGATTCGGCTTTTATGTTGAACAGTTGCATTAAATGGCCTGGTATCAGAATTCAGAACCATATGAGAGATATCATATCGGAGCTTATTTTATTAAACGGTATAGTGTTCAATCCTCTTCCCCTCCATTATAATTATAATTAGTGTCAAGGTATAAAACTTTAAATGGACCTCATTAGTGTGGATCTGGAATTCCTTGTGAGGAAGTGTACTCACCAAAAGGATCACCATTAACAAAAGAAATCATCTTCTTTGAAGAAAGGATTCCTTTCTCACCACCGATTTGATCTGTTTTTTCTGCTCAAACACTCAGAAGTGGTAATCACAGTAACATTCAATAGTTACCATTTTGAGGGGAGGCAGGCACCCAGTCCCACTGGCATGCATTGACCCACCCATTCCTAGTTGAACATTGGAAGCAAAGCCCAACCCAAACCCAAACCCAATGTGAGCAAAGAGGGTGGTCGGTCGTGGACCTTCAAAAATCAAACCAGTCCAAAAACTCGAAAGCTTGCCATGCTCGCGTCTCTGTCAGCATCCTTTTAGCATATATTCCTTCCACTACTCCCCCGGTACAGTAACATCCATTGTCCACCGGCGGCCCATCTCTGCGTTCTGACTCGATTACTGATCTCCAAGCATGCAAAAATTGATCTTTGGAGGCTCAGTGTTAGTACACGTGGATGGGACCCCACTAGTTCAATGGTTTAGATGAAGTCATTTGCCAGCCACATGCTCATGACAAATGACGATTACATGCTAATCGTCAAGTGTTAAACCACCTGTCTACTGGGCACTGATGTCACGGGATCATGGCCCACTTTTGAATGAATTCAGCATCCACAGTCGTTGGATTTTTGAGGGACGTCACCAGCACTTTTGAGTGTACGACAAGTGTTCCAACACACCAGTACTTGCATGTTGCATCTGCCTAAAACAAATCCAACCGTTGGATCCATGTCTGGCAAAGCCAAGACTGTTCAAGGGCCTCAACTCAAGGCAAAAATTAAATTAAAAAAATACAAACAAACGTTGTGGGCCCCACACCACATGGGCAGCCCAAAAGTTAAGCCCATTCACGAGTCGCCATTACCCATTAGAAAGAGAAATAAAACCAACACTCGCCTTCTTGGCTCCACTCGAATAGACTGCAGCGGCCCACCTCACACACATTAGTCGTTATACATACATACATGCATCTGCATGCCATCCATGTATTCAGTCGTACATAAACAGATAAATAAATAAATAAATAAAACCACACAGACACATTAATAAAGCAGCAAAAATACATTTAATAAAAATGAAATTAAGCACAGTGTCTGTGTCTCACCATTCGTCATCTTATTTTACATTTTTAAGTCCAAAATTACAGCAGTGAAAAAGAACCCTGAACAATAGAATTCTTCAAAAAACACGGAAAAATTAAAAAAGATGAACCAGGAAGGCGGACAGAACCGCCGCTAGCCCCCAAAAAAAAAACATAAAAAAAAAGGTTACCCTCATGAGTCATGACCATCATCATAATCATCACCCTACATCCCATTCCCATACATCATCATCGTCGTCAATTCGTCATCATCAAAGGATCAGCGCATAGAGAACCACGTGACAAGATCGGCAGCGACACGCCTCTCGGTGGCGGCGAGTCGCTCTTCCGACACCAGCGGCGACCGACAGAGGGGGCAGTTCCAGTTGAGGTGATTCAACCAGCCGTCCAAACAGTCCTTATGGAACACATGGCGGCACTCTAACCTGCGCACCTGGTCGCCGTCCTTTAACCTACACAAGCACACGACACAGTCCAGCTCAGTCCCCTCGCCGTCGTCGCTGCCGCAATAGGAAGAAACTCCTCCATTCACTTTAAGCTGGTCGGCCAAGACGATAAGCCCGGCTAAGCCTGAGCCTACGGCGCCCAATAGCCCATCGCCGACCTCTTCCACATGTAAGAACCTAGAGAACCCCATCGATTGGAGGAACTCGAAAAGCAGGGAGCGCAGATAGTTTACGCAATTGGCTACGATTGCCACCAGAAGTAACGGGATCGAATCCGACGAGACGTCGCTCAGGTGACTATATAAACCCATTTCGCCTTTTGATCTATTTTCGCCTAAATAAGGAGAACAAAAGAGTGAAAAATCTAGAGAGAGAAAAAGGAAAAGAAACAGAGAGGGATGAGAAGGGGTTTGAGGCTTTGAGCCTTGAGGAGGGGAGGAGAGGGTGGAAGGAGAGCGCAGCTTTAAAGAGGAGAGAGGTGAGAGAGAGTGGAGGAAGGGTGAAGAAGAAGGAAAGGGGAAGGACAGAGGTTCGAGTCACTGAACGCGTCGTTATCGAGGCTTACGTTACGTGGGGAGAGGTAGGAGAGACAGGAGGCCACGCTTGTATGTCGCCACTTTTTAACTTTTATGTGTATTTTGTGCGTCTCTCTGATGAGTGATGAGGATTGAGGAGGCTCCTTCTAGGGTTTTCCGTTTTCCTCTCTCTCGTCTCTCTCCTCTCTAATTCTCTATCCAAACAAATGTTAGAGAGAGGAAGAGAAATTGTGGAGCGAAGGAGTTGGAGTTTTTTTGGGTAGCTGGTGATGACTGGTGACTGGTGAGTGGTGACTGGTGAGTACATCGAAGAAATCGAAATCAAAACCAAAGAACCATGTGTTTGTGTGGGACCCGGTTGGATTTAAGTATTAAAGAAGTTTGTTTATTAGTATAAATCATCATCACGCGACAACAGCAACTACCTTGCAAATTGGAATTAATTGATTTCTTGTTTTACGGGTAACAGTAAGCAACAACCAAACGCACGCGGTTTTACTAATAAACACCAAACAAGTATCAATTATCAAGGGTTAGTACAAACTACAAATTGATTTGTTCATTACCACTAGTTGAGTGATTTTGCTGTGACACCCTCTTTTGCCCTGGATCTGGATGCTTCCAGTCAAGTAAACAAAAGTCATGATGAACAAATTGTAGTGCAAACTGGGGAGTAAATGAAATCGTTATAGAGACAAATTTGAGAAATTCCAAAAGGAAAGGAATGATGATCATTCATGTCTTATTCTCTAATACTCAATTACATGGGATTGGTTATACAAATCGTCCGTTTAATTATTATATTGATGCTTAAATCATGCATGCTTTTATTATTTTATATTATTCATCTTGTAAGTTGTAACAGATTAATTTTTTTTTTTTAGGTACTGTAGAAATTGATGCATCAAAATCGTTTGTTTAAAATGATTTGGGCATTCCTAGATTTGTCTTATTACAACGTTTTGTCTCGCCAGGTAGAGACAAAGTGTGTTATGGACTGTTGCCGCCATCTCTTCCGATGGAGTTGTAAACGAAAAATAAAAATAATAAAAGCTTCAAATTGACAAGTCATTGCTCCAACTTGTAGAAAATTGCGTCCAAGTGATGGATCATTAGCTTAAGATATTGAATTCTTGGCTCAGCTTGTTAAAAAATCTGGTTCCAATTTCCACTTGATGGATGATCGTTCATCTAAGTCTGCTTCCAAATCCAAATAAGAGAGAACAGATAGATAGCTCGAAATTAATGTTGAGGGGAGCAAGTTGTTTGAGCTGAGAGCTATATATCTGAATTGATGGATCATTAATTAATTAGTGGCTAGCTAGTGCAATTCAGAAATTGTTTCCCCAATTTGTCAATATCTTCTTCTTCCTTCACGTTCTGGGTTTTGGGTTTTTCATGTAAAAAGAAAAATGAGTTTGGTAAGCAAAAAAAAAAGTAATCGGAGAGACATATATACTAACATGGCAAGTCTCTTCCAGTAGCATGTTGAACCAGCTGGTTATCTATTGCTGGATCTCCAACTTTGCGTTAAAGACAGACAACACGTTATTCACGTGTCATTATATACTTACATTACATTCTCGTTAAAATAAATAAGTTAACACAGGATGTAAACCACCTCAAACCTCAAATAACATGAGTTGAATTAAGGGGGATGTTAGCAGAGTGGAGTGCACAAACTGTAAGAGTAGAGAATTAGGAATGTGCTTTCAAAATGTAAAATGTGTTTTAATCCATTATTAAATAGTCTCAGGTTGCTAATTAACTTGCTACAGCCATTTCAATTTTCTTCTATTTCCTACAATTAATATAAGACTAAACCATTGTTTTGGGCCATTATTAATTTGCTGCAATAATAAAAATTAACGCTGACAAGGACAAGAAAACATTTTTTTTTTTTTTTTTCATGTCAAACAGCAACCACTTTGTCTAGAAAAAATAAATAAATAAAGCGTGAGGTCCATATTCAATGCACCCTCCCAAGACCCGAGATAATTGGGGCCAACATTGATAATGTCTGTTTTTTAATGGGTTGTTGCCATAGAACAGTGTTAGTCAAAACTGAAAAGCAGAGTTGATAAGGGTTTTTCAAATATTTTGAAGAGAAGAAAGATAGTGGGCAATTATGAACCACATGTCTCCACTCAGTTGTCTAAAACAGTAGAGCTTCTACTAATAAGATTTCCATTTGATATGTTTCCCATGAATGTAGTCCTCCTTTCATCCAACAACCCATATTTTGGTTTGTCAATCAAATCAAATCAACCCTAAATTATGTAATAAGGATGGAGATGATGATGAGGAGTTGAGAGTTGAGAGAGCCCACAAAAATAAGCAACCCTTGAGGCAATGTTCATATAGCTTAGTCGTCCAAATATAAAAACACTCAACTTGTTCATGGGCTTGGATCTATATATTGCTTAATCCTGAAAGTGGTTAATTGATGCAGTGAACATGAGATGAGATGCCTTGTGTGAGATGGGCTCTGTGCATGTCTCAACTCTCAACACCATTCATGCGTTAATTAGCGCTGGTATTGTATAAGCTGTGGTGATGATGGAACATTAACCCAAATTTCAAGAAAAACGACGGACACATGGTCTGTTCAAAAGGGTGCCTAGCTATTTACTTGAGTTGACGGAAAAGATGGATTAAGTGATTAACCATTCCATGCCTTTCATCTCACTCTTCCAAAACCCATCTAGGAGAAGAGATATAGAAGACCCAATTTCATATGCTAGCTTTGAAAGAAAGATAGTAACATATTGCATATGGGGTCGCTCCGTGGCTCTTACCTGCCCTACACCCCTACTTACAACATCGACATATTCTCATAAATTATTAATATAAAGAATATCGGGTCTCATCTATTCAGTTCAGACTAGACTAGGCAAACTTGCTTAAATTAAACCATATTGATTTTTTACTCTTTTAGAAGTAAATTAATTATGATTTAAAAGTATTGCTTATCAATTTAAGCCCCATTCAACGTGTCTTTTGGTGTGACTGTGGATGTTTTAAAAGTTTGGAAATTCATATTTTGGTCTTTTTTTATTTGGTTGAAAAAAGATTTAGCCACTAAAAATCATAGTCCCCGGAAGAAAATGCATGAAGCCCATTTCAGGCTATTTTAAAAAACTCTAAATGGAGTTTTTTGGCTTTTCTTCATCTCGCTTTCGTGCGGAAAGACGTACGGACAGACACACCTTAACCAAACACTCTTCAAACTGCTAAATTCTTCATGCAAAAGCTCACATTATCTTTTGACTATCAAAACTTCTAAAAAAATCTTTTGAAAAAGGCTTACCAAATGGTCCTTAGTAATTTGTCGCATAAAACATAACATAAAAAAAAAGAAGAACATGAGGATATAAAGCGTCTGAAAAGTGGACAGAATAAGTTTCACAGATGTAATTTGGTGCACGGTGCACTGAAGTAATTAGATTTTCATTAAGCTCTACAAATTGGGTAAGTAATGGACAATTTCAGGAAAAAATGATTGTTTTAAAATAAAGGCCCTTTTGGCTTCTAACTAAAAAAAACCTTCTTTTACCAAAAAAAATTAAATTAAGCAATCTTGAGTTTTTTAATAAGAACCTTAAGGAATATATATAGTGTTAATAATTTCAGAAGGGCCCTAGGTGTTTGGTCACTTTACTCTTGCTTTAACAGAAAAACTTTAGCCCAAATTAAGATTTTAGCTATCTAGCAACGTGTATAAAGGAAGCCCTTATATTTAGGCAGCTTTTAATTTACATTCTTACAAGTTTAAAGAAATAAAAGAATTTCTATACAAGTGGAGATTATGACGTGGACGGTTGGATTGAACACATGGATGATCTATGGTCTATTATGCAATGGATTGTTTGGATCAATCACATCATCTCTTTCCATTTAAGAAAAAAATCTTTTAAAAAAGAAAAGGCAAGAAGAGAGAATATTATATTAATATTTACGTCATTGTCTCCCATATTTCTATCAACACAAAGAAATTCCAATTAAGTTCGCTGCAAGAGGAGAGTGAGATTGACCGAGATGTCTTGTGGGTTGCTACATTAGTGGGTGGCGGTGAAAACGACCAAATGACTCACTCCTAAGATAATCCACACTAATAAACAATTAATCATGCTTTAAAATTCAATATTAAAGTTATAAGATAGAATAGAAAAATGTGATAAATCTTCACTTGCTAATTAAACTAATCCAAACAGGGATTTATCATGATCTTTCTCGGTTTCACAATTAAACAAAGTCTAGGCCTTGATTGTTGTGTCCAGCATCTGAAGCCTAAAGTTGCCAGACTTTCTTGTCATATGGACAGCGGAAGTGGCAGAACTAGACCATCCATCAAGACATCTGAACCTTCTGATTGTCCACCGGATCTTGTCCACCTCACTTCTATGCCCTTACTGTGTGTCTGTTTGGGAGGGTTGTCACTTGTCACACATTGCCTTCTTGCTCGAGTCCAGATCTGCACCTCACATCAACCTCACATTCAGCCCCTGCCGGCATATGGAATTATGAAAAGTATCTCCATATTTATATTTATTATTCATTTTTTTACTTAACATAACTTTTTAACATATGTGGTAATAGTAGGATTCGAATCCATATCTCAGTTGGGCCTATCCAACTAACAAATCGAGTCACCACTCAGTTGATTGGTGGGATGTTCTCAATATACGGTCGGATGTGTCTGTAAGGTCAGAAGAATCTAATTCCATGGTTTTTAAAAATGAATCTGTGATTAAATCGGTCTGGGGTATGGTTATCGGTTCGAACAGTTTGATCATTCGACCCAAACGGTTGGCCTGTTTTGACAAAAAATTTAAAAAATTAGAAAATGGTCAAAACCGTTCAAACGGTTCGAATGGTTAATCAGCCGGTTCAGTGGTTTGTTGATCAAAATCAATGGTTTTGAAAGAAAAAATGGTTTTGGAAAATTAAAAAAATTAGAAAACGGTCAAGACTGTTCAAACGGTTAACCAGCCGATTCAGCGGTTTGCTGACCAAAATCAACGGTTTTGAGGGAAAAAGTGGTTTTGGAGGAAAATGGATGACCGATTCCCAATTTTTCCAATCCGACCATCCAGTCCTGTCAGGTTTTTGAAAACAGTGCCTAATTCTTCTTGCTTTGCGAGGTGGACCCC